GTAATACAATGTTCTCTCACTGTTTTGTGGTTTGCTTCATGCAGACTCGCTATTTTGCAGGTTTGTTTTTTTAAAAAATGGATTTAAAATGCAACTGTATACCCATTATGAAAGTGTGTTGTTTCTCCAGCTTAGATGCTTCCACAGACTTGAGTTACAGAGTGGAAGAATGGCTCTCGCACTGCCCTAGGGAGGGTGGAAGCGGGCAAGCCAGGAACCCCTTGGTGGTGGTTCCCCGAAGCTGGAATCGTCACCCTGACTGGCGGAGATGGTGGGCTATGGGGGAGGCGTGTGTGTGGTTGGTGAAGAGCCCCATCTGGTGCTGGCGAGGGATGCGGAGAGGGCCACCCAACTTCCACTGGGGCTTCTTCCTCGGGCAACTGGGTGATAATCCCATGCCAGTGGGGAAGCAACGAGGGAGAGAGAATGGTGACTCCAGCAAGGGGAGGGGGAGGCAGGGAGGAAGGGAGGGGGAGAGAGGAGAGGAAAGAGAAGGCTAAGGGATTGATTGAGAGAATGGGAGGGGAGGGGGAGAGAGGAGTGGGTGGAGCTATATGGTACATATACTGTATAGCGTCCCTACATTGCGGTTTTTCACTTATCGTGGGTGGTCCTGGATCGTAAACCCCGCAATAAGTGAGGGGACACTGTGTGTGCAATCTGATTACGGATTGGCCTTTAGAGTATGACTCTGGATGGCATGATACATTGCAATGTATTTTTATAATGCTTATTATGTTTTAATTTTTTACTGATGTTTGTTTTAAGGCTTCATGGAGGTACGATTCTACGCCGCCTTGAGTGCCCCTCGGGGTAGAGAAAGGTGGGATATAAATATGATCAATAAATAAATATCAGTTTAAACAATTAGCATATCAATTTAAATATATATATATATATATAATAAAAGTGAATGTTTGTATGTATGTATGCGGAGGGAGGAAGGACAGAAGTGAATATGGCAGCTTTCTGACTGGTTGCCACTTTCACAGGCCACTGTGACCAACACAGGTTACGCAACTAGACCAAACTTGGCACACATAACCCCCACGAACCTCTTTACGTCCTGGTACGGTTTGGGGGAGGTAGACCACTGATTATGTGATTTGTAGTACTTTCAAACAGTTTGGTTCCCAGGGACCACTGTGGCCCCCAACAAAGACCGATGAAGACCAAACTTGGCACACCAAGGCCCCATGACCCACTCTACATCCTACTGTGGTTTGGAGGAGCGCAGACCATGGATGATGGGACTTGAAGTACCTCCACTCGCTTTCTGAGACCGCTGCGACCCTCATCCAATGACTGAACAAGACCAATCTTGGCACACATAACCCCCATGACCCCTTTTACATCCTTGTGAGGTTTGGGGGAGGGCGCACAATGCATGATGGGATTTGTAGTACTTTCAAACTCTTCAGTTCCCACAGACCACTGTGACCAATAAAGACCAAACTTGGCACACAGAGCCCCCATGACCCACTCTCCATCCTGCTGCAGTTTGGAGGCGGATGGCCCACAGATGATGGGACTCGCAGTACCTTCACTAACTTCCTGAGACCACTGCGAACCATATAAATAACTGATACAGACCAACCTTGATACACAATTCCTTTCTCAAATAACCCGCGCAGCGCCGGGTCCCCAAGCTAGTACTGTAATAAACATGATGTATCAATTGAACAATTCAAATATAAATATAATAAAACAGCTTAAAATAAACATTCAACTCCAACCGAAGTGGACTGATGACATCAATTAAACAACCAACAATTCAAATATAAATACAATGAAACAGCTTAAAAGTAAACATTCAATCCCAACTGAAGTGGGCTGATGGAATAAGTGGACAGAATCAGCAGGCAACAGGTGAGGTGGGGGAACCCTGAAAACGAACACCTGCACATGTGTTCCAATGTCCGGATGATGGGCGGCATGGCCCTGCCGTGGAGGCATCCCACGCAGGTGTTCCAGCAGCTTGGCAGTGGACAGCACGGCCATTAATGTAGCTGCGCGGTGAGGCTGCGGGAGCCATAGAGGCACCCCTCTCAGGCGTTCCAGGAGCTGAGCAATGGGCAGCACGGCCATTAAAGTACCTGTGCAGCCAGGCCCTGCCATGGAGGTACCCTGTGCAGGTGTTCCTCTGGTATCCTGGTGGTGGGCGGCACGGCCATTAAAGTAGCTGCGTGGTGAGGCTGCGGGAGCCATAGAGGCACCCCTCTCAGGTGTTCCAGGAGCTGGGCAATGGGTGGTGTGGCCATTAAAGTACCTGTGCAGCCAGGCCCCGCCATGGAGGTACCCTGTACAGGTGTTCCTCTGGTATCCTGGCGGTGGGTGGCACGGCCATTAAAGTAGCTGCGTGGTGAGGCTGCGGGAGCCATAGAGGCACCCCTCTCAGGTGTTCCAGGAGCTGGGCAATGGGTGGCATGGCCATTAAAGTACCTGTGCAGCCAGGCCCCGCCATGGAGGTACCCTGTACAGGTGTTCCTCTGGTATCCTGGTGGTGGGCGGCACGGCCATTAAAGTAGCTGCGTGGTGAGGCTGCGGGAGCCATAGAGGCACCCCTCTCAGGTGTTCTAGGAGCTGGGCAATGGGTGGTATGGCCATTAAAGTACCTGTGCAGCCAGGCCCCGCCATGGAGGTACCCTGTACAGGTGTTCCTCTGGTATCCTGGCTGTGGGTGGCACGGCCATTAAAGTAGATGCGTGGTGAGGCTGCGGGAGCCATAGAGGCACCCCTCTCAGGTGTTCCAGGAGCTGGGCAATGGGTGGCGCAGCCATTAAAGTATCTGTGCAGTCAGGCCCCACCATGGAGGTACCCCATGCAGGTTATCCGGTATCCTGGTGGTGGACGGCACGGCGATTAATGTAGCTGCATGGCTACATCCAAATGCCCATTCACAGTCTCCTAAAGCAGTTGCTCTACTCCGAACTCAAGAATAGAAAATGTAATGTTGGAAAACAGGAAAAGAGATTGAAAGATGGGCTCAAAGCTAACCTTAAAAACTCTGGCATAGACACTGAGAACTGGGAAGCCCTGGCCCTTGAGCGCTCCAGCTGGAGGTCAGCTGTGTCCAGCAGTGCTGCAGAATTTGAAGAGGCACGAATGGAGGGTGAAAGAGAGAAACATGCCAAGAGGAAAGCGCGTCAAGCCAACCCCGACCAGTACTGACTTCCACCTGGAAACTGATGCCATCACTGTGGGAGAAGATGCAGGTCAAGAATAGGGCTCCACAGTCACCTACGGACCCACCACCAGTACACCGGACTTGGAGGACAATCTAATTCAGACAACAAGGGATTGCCTAAGTGAGTAAGTAAGGGTTACACTGTGCCTGAAGCACTTCCCACAGGCCATGTATTTGTATGGTTTCACTCCTGTGTGGATTGTCTTATGGAAGTTCAGTTGGCTTAACCATCTGAATTTCTTGCTACATTCTGAGCACTGATATGGCTTCTCCCCTGTGTGGAGTTTTTGATGGAAATGGAGACTGTTGCTTGAATTGAAGCATTTCCCACAGTTTATGCACTTGTAGGGCATAGACTGTGGGAAACAACTGACAGGCCATCAAATGCTAATCAAGGTGGTCAGTTGAAACATTCACACCTAGCTTCAGCAGACAAGAGTTCTTTGTCCCACCCTGTTCATTCCACAGATATATAAACCTAATTTTCCTAGTCCAACAGACCTCACTACCTCTGAGGATGCTTGCCATAGATGCAAGCGAAACATCAGGAGAGAATGCCTTTAGAACATGGCCATATAGCCCGAAAAAACCTACAGCAACCCAGTGATTCCGGCCATGAAAGCCTTCAACAATACACTGATCATCTTTGTCCGGAGAGACCTGTGTGTGTGACTATGCTTGAATGCTTCAGATGAATGGATGAGAATTCACTCTTGATGTGATTCTTTTAAAAAAAATATTTTTATTTTAAACCAAAGAAAGTAATTAATAGGTTAAAGACATTAAGAACTAACATAGAAAGTGGGGGAACAATATGGTGGTTATAGAAAAGTTGGGAAAATAGCAAAGAGAAATAATAATACTAAAGAAAAGAGAAAAGAGAGAAAGAGAAAAGTCTTGACTTCCATTCCAAACTTTGTGATTTCTATTACCCTTGTATTTTGTCTATTTCCCTAGTATAATTTAGCTCTTGTTTTCTACTATTTTTTTCTTTTTGTAGTCCTGAAAGAGGTCCCAATTTGTCCTTTTTGTTGGTTTCCCGACAAAGAGGTTAATTCATCCATATCTTTTCTTTCCCTGTTTGTCTACCCAATTCTCAATATCTGGGACTTGTTCTTGTTTCCAAAATTTTGCAAAGGAGATTCTTGCTGCTTTTGTCATGTATGTGAATAGTCTGTCTTTGTTCTCATCGAGGCTCAAGTCTAAATCAGTAATTCCAAGTAAATAGTACTCCGGTTTCTTCTTAAACTTCATATTAAGGAAAAAAAAATGAGATTTTTCATGTATTTCTGTCCAAAATTTAGAGGCAGTGTTGCAGGACCACCACATACGGAAAATGTCCCCTCGTGATCTTGACATTTCCAACATTTATTTGGTGTATTTTTGTACATCTGGCCTAATTTCTTGGGTGTAACACACCATCTATGAAACATTTTAACCAATTTTCCTTTAAGTCCATTGCATAAGTATGTAATTTTTTTTATTTCAAACTTGTTCCCACTCCTTAAAATAAATTGGTCTTTTCAAATTCTCTGCCCATTTAATCATACATAGCTTTACCTCTTCCATCTCAGTTGCCCAGTCTCTTAATATGATTCTGATGTGATTCTAAAGTGATGATACTCCATGGATGTTACATGAAAAGTATTAAAAACCAAATTTAGTCTCTGAAGTGCCTCATTGATCCAATATACATCACTATTCCTTGAAAACACTGCATCAAAAGAACAGGAACCATTTGGGTTCATAACATTCTTGCCGCTGGGATTATATAGAGCAGTAATTAATTCTCCGTGTTTCTTTTCTAATCTAGCATCCTCAACAAATACAATCCAGGCTTCATTATAAATTTAAACTCTGTAATATCTGCCAGCATCCTGTGTACCTGAGTCCAATATTTCTGGGCCTTTTGTTGTATGGTTTCTCCCCATTGTATGTTTTTGGGGTCTGGCTGAAGTTTGCCCATTATCCTCGCTGAAGCTCCTTCCACATCCGATGCTTTAATACGATTTCCGCCCTGTGTGGGTCCTTTGATGTAAACAGAGATGGGTACTCAAACGGAAGCATTTCCCGCAGTCTGTGCACTTGTAGGGTTTCTCCCCTGTGTGGGTCCTTTGATGTAAACGGAGACGGGTGCTTGAAATGAAGCATTTCCCGCAGTCTATGCACTTGTAGGGTTTCTCCCCTGTGTGGGTCCTTTGATGTAAACGGAGACGGGCGCTCAAACTGAAGCATTTCCCGCAGTCTATGCACTTGTAGGGTTTCTCGCCTGTGTGGGTTCTTTGATGTGTAGAAAGATTTGAACTCCCACTGAAGCTTTTCCCACACTCTGGACACATATAGGGCTTCTCCCCAGTGTGGATTCTTTTGTGTTGTACTAGACTTTGACTAAGGCTAAAGCTCTTTTTGCATTCTGTACATTTATAAGGTTTCTCCCCTGTATGGGTTCTCTTATGGAAACGTAGATTTCCACTCTGAGAAAACCTCTTTCCGCACTCCATGCATTTATAGGGTTTCTCTCTGGTGTGGGTTCTCTCATGGACACGCAGTTGGCCAATCAAAGTGAAGCTCTTTCCACATTCCTTGCACTGGTGTGGTTTTTCTCCAGTGTGGATCTTCTCATGCAGGCGCAGGGATCCAGTGTACCTGAAACACATCCCACAAGCCGTGCATTTGTATGGTTTTGCTCCCGTGTGGATTCTCTCATGAAAGCTCAGAGACCTTTTCCATCTGAATTCCTTTCCACATTCTGAGCACTTATATGGCTTCCCCCCTGTGTGGGTCATTTGGTGTAAATGGAGACCGTTGCTTGAAGTGAAGCATCTCCCACAGTCTATGCACTTGTAGGGTTTCACCCCTGTGTGGGTTCTCTGATGTCTAGAGAGATTTGAATTCTGCGTGAAGCTTTTCCCACACTCTGGGCACATATAGGGTTTCTCCCCTGTGTGGATTCTTTTGTGTAGTACTAGGCCATTACCAGAGCTGAAGCTCTTTCCGCACTCTGTACATTTGTGACGTTTCTCCCATGTGTGGCTTCTCTTATGTGAACCTAGATTTCTGCTCTGGGAAAAGCTCTTTCCGCACTCCATGCATTTATAGGGCTTCTCCCCACTGTGAGTTCTCTCATGGTCACGCAGGTGGGTCTTTCTAACAAAGCTCTTTCCACAATCCTTGCACTGGTGTGGCTTTTCTCCTGTGTGGAGCTTCTCATGCAGGCGCAGGGATGCGCTGTGCCTGAAGCACACCCCACAGGTTGTGCATTTGTACGGTTTTGCTCCCGTGTGGATTCTCTCATGTGAGCGCAGATGGCCTACCCGTCTGAAGTCCTTTCCGCATTCAGAGCACTGATGTGGCTTCTCCCCTGTGTGGGTCCTTTGGTGCAAGTGGAGATTCATGCTGTGAGAGAAGCTTTTCCCACACTCCAGGCATTTGTAGGGTTTCTCCCCAGTGTGGACCTTCTCATGCGACCGCAGCTTACTCTTCAAAATGAATCTCTTACCACAATCCAAGCATGCGTAGGGCTTTTCACTTGCATGGAGTTTTTCGTGCAAAGAAAGGTATGCTCTCGTGCCAAAGCTCTTCCCACATTCCAGGCATTTGTAGGGCTTCTCGTTTCTGTGGGTTTTCTGATGCGTATCCCGGTTCCCAGCCTGGTTGAAGCTCCTTCCGCAGTCCGCACATTTGTACGGTTTCTCCCCCGTGTGGGTCCTCTGGTGTATTATAAGGGCATCCTTCCGAACAAAATGCTTTCCGCACTCCACGCACGCAAAGGGTTTCTCCCTGTGGGTTTTCTCATGCGTATTCAGAGTTGCGCAAGACTTCAAGCTCTTTCCGCACTCCCTGCATATATATGACTCCTTTTCTGTGTGGCTTCTCCAATGGGAACGCAACTCTCTGCTCTGAGAGAAGCACTTTCCGCATTTATTGCATTCATAAGGCTTCTCTTCTGTGTGGATTCTCTGATGAGATTCCAGGTTTCCCCTTAAAGAGAATCTCCTTCCGCATTCTGTGCACTGATGTGGCTTTTCACTTGAGGGGGATCTGTTGAGGTCTTTGCTTGTGTGGCACCTGTAGTGTACTGTTAATCGCAAATATCTTTTCCCACAGACAGGACACTTACTTCTCCTTTTGCCTTTGAGAGTCTTCTGGGCAGCCGGAGGGTCCCAGGTGTCAGGCTCTTGAGAAGGGAGAGGTTTCTTTTTTCCCTTCTTGACTTGGTTTCCTCTCTTTTGATTTCCCAAAGGCTCTTTCCCTGTTGGATGCTCACTCATTTTTGAGGATTTCAGGGCTGCTTCCCAGTTGCTCCCACTGCCTTGCCCATTCTCTGTTGAGAAAAGAGGGAAATAATAATAATAATTTTTACCCACCTTTCCTCATGGTTCAAGGCAGGTTACAACATTGCTAAAATACATAATCTCAAAACACATAACCATGTAATAACAATCCATAAAATACACACATGAAGACATTAAAACAAAGCACCATCAAGAATTGTGGAAGTGGGATTTATGGATCACGAATCCAGAGCTTGGACATACAGCAGGGTTGTATTTTGATCAATGTATTTTATACTGGTGTGTATTTTGTCGTATGTTGATGTGTTTTGACTGGGTTGTGTCCTACCTAAAGTCTTAGGAGAGGTGGATAACAATTAAATATTGTTGTTGTTATTATACTGTCATCCTGTGTCCTCATGGTAGCTGCCTTGAGTCCCTATGGAGAGAAAGGCAGGACAGAAACAAAATTAAGAAGATCATGAAGAGGAGGATGAGAAGCTTTGATAATTCACAGATAATTTCCTGCCCTGTTCTGCAGGCCTATGCCATCTTTAATAGGGACTGCATGAGGCTGAGCGAGACTGTTTGTAAGTCCCTATGAAAAATGGAGGGAACCAGCAAAAGAGGAACCCATCCATGCCTGGCGCCTCACCTCACCTTATCTCTTTGGCTTCTTTAGCTGCCGCATCACACTTTCGGCTCACATTCAGCTTGTGGCCCCCTAAGACTCCCTTGGTTCCTTTGCTATGGACTCTTTTCAAGCCAGGTCTCACCCTTCTTATATCTGATCATTCCAATTTTTGCTGCCTGTCTTGCATGTTTCCATGTTGACATTCATGATATTGGGCCCACCTCTCGTCATTGGATCCTGTTCCTGTCCTTTGAGGCATTAGCTCTCCCTCCCAATTCAGTGTCATCTGCCAAACCAAAAAGCCTTTCTTTTCTTTGATTAATTTTTATTTAGACAAAACAATATGAAAGATATATACAAGCAAACAAGCCGAGCAACAAAGTGAGAAATACATTCTCTAGAAGAAAAGACAACATGTGATGACTACTACATTCTATACATCAGAAAACATTAACTACATACATTCTACATTATCTTATCGAAGGGCTTTACCTTCCCACCTTATATCTGATGGTTATCATCATTACTAATTATTATTTACTACATGTATATACTGCTTTTCTCCCCCTAAGGGAACTCAAAGTAGTGTCCAACATTAGAAAGGCAAAATTCAATACCGTAGATACATATGAAACCGAAAATAGTAGCAAGACAATAACATAGAACTATAAATCAACTTAACCAAATTAAAACATTAAACATAAAATAACCTTTAGACATGAAGCATAAAAAATCAAACATCAATAATACAATAACAGTTATATGAAAACCCTAGCAATAAACAATTCTCTCTAAGAAGATGTCTAGTATCATTCTGTTTGGCTTTATTTATTGCATGTTAACTATGCTATACTTTGCTATAGCTTTGCTATACTTTGCTATGGGGAGAGGAAGGTAAGAAATAATAATAATTATAACAGAATTTCATGTTTTAACTTGGGTTCAGTCTCTGAGGCAGTACGTTGTTGTTATTATTGTTACTGTTATTATTATTATTCCAAAATTATTTCAGGATGCAGAGCATGTTCTATATTATTATTGTTATTAATACTACTGCTACTGCTACTCAAAGGTGAAGAGTGTAACTAAGGCTCAGTCCCACTCATGGGCTTATATACAACTGGAGGAGCGTGGGCGGGGCCTCCGTCAAAATGTTTCAATGCTAAAGCTCTAGAATGTTCTTAATAGCTGCGCATGCGCAGTGAAAACCCATATGTGCGCATTTTACAGACTCCACAAAGAAGTACTGGGAGTAAACAACACATGCACTATTGATATACGTAGGTAAAGGTTAAAGGTTTCCACTGATATAAAGTTTAGTCATGTCCGACTCTGGGGGGTGGTACTCATCTCCATTTCTAAGCCAAAGAGCCGGCGTTGTCGATAGACACCTCCAAGGTCAGTGTGACTGCATGGAATGTCCTAAATCATCTCTCTCTCTCTCTCATACACACACACAAACGTATATAGAATCTCGTATCCACCTAACAGTTCTATCCCATGTCGTTTTCTCATTAATTGTCTTTTTTCTGCTATTCCTAATTGATGAGCATAAAAAACGTTTAGCGGCCAATTTCCCCAAGCTTTCTTTAGACTACAAGCCTTTTACACATCCTGTACATTTTACTCAAACATACAAAAAAAGAAAGAAAATATGACAAAAAATGGAAATAAAACTATTGCTAAAAAGTTTTTCATTACCAACAGAAGTAACAGAACCTCTACACGTTAAAAAAAAAACCCTACAAATCTATATGTCACCCTTTTGTTGATTTTCTTACTTGCTGGTCCCTTTAAGTATCCCTTTATTTCTACCTTTCCACTTTTAAGAACATTCTTTTGCATCTGAAAGTTGCAACCATCTTTGCTGTAGAACAATAATAACTATGAGGGTTGAATAAAAAGTAATGCCTCCACCTTCATTACTTGGATTTGGATGGGAATATTTTAATAAATCAAACGCAGAAATAATCCTTGGAATGTGCTCTTTAACGACCACTATTCACTTTTCCACATAACCACCAGACAATTGGATACATTTCTGCCAACAATGAACAAGTTTTCTGAAGCCGTCACAGAAGAAGTCGACACTCTTTCCGCAACCAGCGTCTCACCGTTCTCTCAATGTCTTCATCAGAAGCATAATGATGTCCCCGCAGATCTACTTCCATTATCGGGAACAGATGGAAGTCAGATGGTGCTAAATCTGGACTGTATGGAGGATGTCATATGGTGGTGAGATCCAGTAAATGAAGTTTCAAGTCTGTGCGCTTTCATTTCAGGCATCCTCATCCTGGGTACCCATCGTGCACAGATCTTCTAATAGCCAAGCAAAGCAACAATGTGACTCACACATTCTTGTAATGCTGGTTATGCTTGAAATTTCTCTCTGGGTGATACAATGATTGTCCTGAATCAATCTGTCAACCTTTTACTTGTGAAACTTGGTGGTTGCTGTCACAGGACATCCAAATCTTGGGTTTGTCACGCAAGTCAGATGTTCCCACCTCTACATCTTTAAACTTACTTGCCCAACGACGCACAGTACTCATATCAACACAATCACCATAAACAGCTTGCATTCTCTGATGAATCTCCTTTGGGGTGACACCTTCTGCTGTCAAGAATTCAATGACTGCACGTTGCTTAAGTCGCATTGACCGACTGTCTGCGCAGGGTTCCATACTTCGCACTTTAACAACACCAATGTTCAATGCTAAGGCTTTCCGCCAATATGGAACTGTAGAGGAGAGTCTACTGAACAAGCCGTGCACCTGCCGCATACCAGTATTGCCATCTGTTGAGAAGTTACGAAGGTGGAGGCATTACTTTTCATTCAACCCTGGTCTGTCCGGTCTTTCCTGAATTTAGTCAAGGATTTCTCCTCAATTAATGCTGTCTATTTATTCATCTCAGCTAATTTGCGTATTTGCATCATTTCATTCTTGCGGCAGAATATCTGGTTCTTTCCATCTCTGGGCAGAGAGGATTATTGCCGCTGTGATCATTTAGAGCACTAATTAATTCTCCGTGTTTCTTTTCTAATTGGTGATCTAGCATCCCCAAAAAATACAGTCCAGGCTTCCTTGTCAATTTAATCTTTGCAATATCTTCTAGCATCCTGTGTATTTGAGTCCAATACTTCTGGGCGTTTCGTAGTATGGTTTCTCCTCATTGTATGTTTTTTAGATCTGACTGAAGTTTGCCCATTATCCTCGCTGAAATTTATTTATTTATTTATTTAAAACGTTTATATCCTGATCTTCTCTACCTTCGTAGAGGGACTCAGACCGGCTGAAACTCCTTCCACATCTGATGCTTTTAAAACGACTTCCGCCCTGTATGGGTCCTTTGATGTAAACGCAGATGGGTGCCCGAACGGAAGCATTTCCCACAGTCTATGCACTTGTAGGGTTTCTCCCCTGTGTGGCTTCTTTGATGTGTAGAGAGATGTGAACTCTGCATGAAGCTTTTCCCACACTCTGGGCACATGTAGGGTTTCTCCCCAGTGTGGATTCTTTTGTGTTGTACTAGGTATTGACTCAAGCTGAAGCTCTTTCCGCACTCAGTACATTTATAAGGTTTTTCTCCTGTGTGGGTTCTCTTATGTAAATGTAGATTTCCACTATGAGAAAAGCTCTTTCTGCACTCCATGCATTTATAGGGCTTCTCCCCAGTGTGGGTTCTCTCATGGAGGCGCAGTTGGCCGATCAAAATGAAACTCTTTCCACATTCCTTGCACTGGTGTGGCTTTTCTCCCGTGTGGATTTTCTCATGAAGGCGAAGGGATGCAGTGTACCTGAAGCACATCCCGCAGGCCATGCATTTGTATGGTTTCGCTCCCGTGTGGATTCTTTCATGAAAGTTCAGAGACCTTTTCCATCTGAATTCCTTTCCACATTCTGAGCACTTATATCGCTTCCCCCCTGTGTGGATCGTTTGGTGTAAATGGAGACCATTGCTCGAACTGAAGCATCTCCCGCAGTCTATGCATTTGTAGGGTTTCTCCCCTGTGTGGCTTCTTTGATGTGTAAAGAGATTTGACCTCTGCCTGAAGCTTTTCCCGCACTCCGGGCACACATAGGGTTTCTCCCCTGTGTGGATTCTTTTGTGTAGTATTAGGTAATGACTTACACTGAAGCTCTTATCACATTCTGTACATTTATAAGGTTTCTCCCCTGTGTGGGTTCTCTTATGTGAACGTAGATTTCCGCTCTGAGAAAAGCTCTTTCCACACTCCATGCATTTATAGGGCTTCTCCCCAGTGTGGGTTCTCTCATGGAGGCGAAGGTGGTCCATCCGAATGAATCTCTTTCCGCATTCCTTGCACTGGTGTGTCTTTTCTCCCGTGTGGACCTTCTCATGCAGTTGTAGGGATCCACTGTGCCTGAAGCGCATCCCACACACCGTGCACTTGTATGGTTTCGCTCCTGTGTGGATCCGCTCATGAAAGCTCAGAGACCTTTTCCATCTGAATTCTTTTCCACATTCCGAGCACTGATATGGCTTCTCCTCTGTGTGGGTCTTCTGGTGCCTGCGGAGGTTCAGGCTCTGAGCGAAGCTTTTCCCACACTCCAGGCATTTGTAGGGCTTCTCCCCGGTGTGGACCTTCTCATGAGACCGCAGGATCCAGTTGGAAATGAATCTCTTCCCACAGTCTAAGCATGCGTAAGGCCTTTCCTTTGCGTGGGTTTTTACATGCGAAGACAGGCATGCTCTCGTGCCGAAGCTTTTCCCACATTCCAGGCATTTGTAGGGCTTCGGTGGGTTTGTAGGGCTTCGGTGGGTTTTCTGATGCATATCCCGATTCCCTGCCTGAGAGAAGCTCTTTCCGCAATCCGCACATTTGTATGGTTTCTCCCCCGTGTGGGTCCTCTGGTGTATTGTAAGGGCATCCTTCCGAACAAAGCGCTTTCCACACTCCACACACGCAAAGGGTTTCTCCCTGTGGGTTTTCTCATGCGAATACAGAGTTACGCAGGACTTCAAGCTCTTTCCGCACTCCCTGCATATATATGACTGCTTTTCTGCATGGTTTCTCCAATGGGAACGCAACTCTTCGCTCCGAGAGAAGCTCTTTCCGCATTTATTGCATTCATAGGGCTTCTCCCCTGTGTGTATCCTCTGATGTGATTCCAGGTTTCCCCTTAAACAGAATCTCCTTCCGCATTCTGTGCACTGATGTGGCTTTTCACTTGAGGGGGGTCTGTTGAGTTCTTCGCTTGTGTGGCACCTGTAGTGTACCTTTAATCGCAAATATCTTTTCCCACAGACGGGACACTTACTTCTCCTTTTGCCTTTGAGAGTCTTCTGGGCAGCCGGAGGGTCCCAGGTGTCAGGCTCTTGAGAAGGGAGAGGTTTCTTCTTTCCATTCTTTAACTGGTTTCCTCTCTTTTGATTTCCCAAAGGCTCTTTCCCTGTTGAATGTTTACTCATTTTTGAGGATTCCAGGGCTGGTTCCCAGTTGCTCTCACTGCCTTGCCCGTTACCTGTTGAGAAAAGAGGAAAAGAAAAACCCTATTAGGAGTTGCAAAAGTCGACTTTAATGACTATGGAACCAGATCTGGACATACAGCAGGGTTGTATTGTGATCTTTGTACAATGTATTTCGGTTTATATATTTTATACTGGTGTGTTTTGATGGATTAATTTTGTTGTATGTATTTCATGGTGATATGTTTTGACTGTGTTGTGCCCTGTCTCAAGCCTTAGGAGAGGCTGGTACCAATTTATTATTAATTAATCAGTTTTCAGCTTGAGTCCTTATGGGGAGAAAGGCAGGGCAGAAATAAAATAAAGAAAAAGAGGAGAGGGAAGAGGTTTGATGATTCACAGAGAATTTCCTGCCCTCTTCTGCTGGCCTATGCCATCTTTAATAGGGACCTCATGGGGCTGAGCGAGACTGTTTGTAAGTCCCTATGAAAAATGGAGGGAACCCATCCATGCCTGGTGCCTCACCTCACCTTATTACTTCCCTCGATCTCAACACTATTTATTTATTTATTTACAACATTTCTGCCCCACCCTTTTCAACCCCCAAGGGGGGATTAAGAGGGGCTAACACTGGCAACAATTCGATGCCGCAATATCACAAAATAACAATATAAAACCATAAATATACAATAGATTAAAAACAATAACATTAATCACAGTCATACACTAGACTCCTAAGGATGCAGCCCGGAATCCCTTTGGCTTCTTTAGCTGCCGCATCACACTCTCGGCTCACGTTCAGCTTGTGGCCCCCTAAGATTCCCTAGGTCTCTTTCCTATTGTCTCTTTCCAAGCCAGAACTCACCCTTCTTCTATCTGTTCATTCCATTTTTTGCTGCTTATCTTACATTTTCCCCTGTTAACTTTCATTTTGTTGGGCCCGCCTCTCATCATTGGATCCTGCTCATGTCCTTTGAGGCATTAATAATAAATAATAATAATAATCTTTATTTGTACCCCGCTACCATCTCCCCAAGGGACTCGGTGCGGCTTACATGAGGCCGAGCCCACAATACAACAATAAAACAATAGCAACAGTAATACAAACAATAAATAAAACTCATAAACATTAACAATAACACAACGACGTTTAAAAACCTATGGCAGGGCCAAATGTACTAATTAAAAATTTAAAAATAATGCTGGGCATGGCATATAAACAGGATAGAAATTTTGGAGAGGGATAGAGCGTGCAGACAATCCTAGATCACTAATAAATAGCTCTCTCTCCCAATTCAGTGTCATTTGCCAAACCAATAAACCTTTCTCTTCTTTCCTTCAATTAATTTTTATTGGGATAAATCAATACAAAACATATATACAAGCAAACCAACTCAGCAACAAATTGAGAAATACGTTTTTAGAAGAGAACATATAGAGTACAACTACTATTACATTCTATATATCAGAAAACACTAACTACGCTCTACACTATCTAATCTAAGGGCTTTACCTTCCCACCTTCTCTCTGATGGTTATTATTATTTGAAACAGAACAAGAGGAGTCCACAGCAAACAAGATCACTCTGCTGGCTGTTGTATTGGATCACGCGTTGGACACTTCCCAAGTGTCTAGGACTATGTGATGTATCGGCGAATAATGCATGCAGATCCCAGTAGGGTGGCCTTTTGCAGCTGGCAGATGGTAATTTTGTCAGCGCTGATTGTGTTTAAGTGCAGGCCAAGGTCTTTAGGCACTGCACCCAGTGTGCCAATCACCACTGGGACCCCCTTGACTGACTTGTGCCAGAGTCTTTGCAGTTTGATCATTAAATCCTCATATCGTGCCAGCTTTTCCAGTTGTTTCTCTTCAATCCTGCTGTCACCTCGACAATCCATACTTTGTTTTTTAACACAATTGTAAGGTCAGGAGTATTGTGCTCCAAAACTCGGTCTGTCTGAATTTGGAAGTCCCAGAGGTGTTTGATATGCTCATTCTCTGTAACTCTTTCCGGCTTGTGATCCCACCAGATTTTTGTCGTAGGTCTTTGTAGCACAAGTTCCAATGAATCATCTGAGCAACGGTGTTGTGCCTCTGCTTGTAGTCTGACTGCACAATCTATTATTATTTACTACATGTATATACTGCTTTTCTCCTTCTAAGGCAGGCATGGGCAAACCTTTTGACTCAGGGGCCACATGGTGGGCTGCAGCCAAGACCCCTCCCTGCCCTTTCCTCCCCTTCCTCTTTTCTTTTGGAGGCAGAAAGCAAAGGAAAGACAGGAACCGTTTGCATCCCAAAAGGATTGACCTTCGTCAGGATGAAATGGTGGGAGAGAAAAAGTGTCTCTATTAGACCCCGACTTGCCTACTCCTGATATAGAATCCTAGAGCTGGAAGAGACCCCAAGGGCCATCCAGTCCAACCCCCTGCCATGCAAGCAGGCACAATGAAAGCACTCCCAACAGACAGCCTCTGTGGAAAAGCCTCCAGAGAAGGAGACTCTTCCACACTCTGAGGCAGTCTATGCCACTCTCCAACAGCTCTTACTCTCAGGAAGTTCTTCCTAATCTTTTCAGTAAAATCTCTTTCCCTGGCATTTGAACCCATTGTTTCTTGGTCTCTATAGCAGCAGAAAGTCAAATTTCCCCTCGTTTTCAAAGGGACACTTTTTAAAATCTGGAGACATGATTCTCACGTTCCCTCTCTACATTCTCCAGGAGGAAGGAAAATGAAAGAGAGGAAGGGAGGGAGGGAGGGAGGAAGAGAAGGAAGAAGGAAGAAGGGGGAATGGAGGGAGGGAAGGGAGAGGGAGGAAAGAGAGGAAGGAAATACAAAAGGGAAGGAAGGAAGAAGAAGAGAAGAGGGAAGGAGGGAGGGAAGAGGGAAGGAAGGAAGGAAGGAAAGAAGAAAGAGAAAGAGGGAAGGAGGGAGGGAAGAGGGAAGGAAGGAAGGACAAAAGGGAAGGAAGGAAAGAAGAAAGAGAAAGAGGGAAGGAGGGAGGGAAGAGGGAAGGAAGGAAGGACAAAAGGGAAGGAAGGAAAGAAGAAAGAGAAAGAGGGAAGGAGGGAGGGAAGAGGGAAGGAAGGAAGGACAAAAGGGTGGAAGGGAAGGAAGGCGGGAGAGAGGCCGGAGAAGGAGGAAGGGAAGAAGGAAGGAAAGAGAAAAGGAAGGATAGCATAGGGTGAGAGAGGAGGGCCTGAGAAAAGAGCCCATGGGGGCTACATCTGGCCCCCAGGCCTAGGTGTGCCCATACCTGCCCTACGGGAACTCAAAGCGGTTTCCAACATTATAAAGGCAAAATTCAGTGCCGTACTTATATTTGAAAACTGAAAAATAGCAAGACAATAGCATGGAATTATAAATCAACTTAACCAAATTAAAACATAAACATAAAACAACATTTAGACATAAAGCATAAAAAAATTAAACATCGACAATACAATAACATTGATATCAAAACCCACCAATAAACAATTCTCTCTAAGAAGACGTTTAGTATCATTCTGTTTGGCTTTTTCTATTGCATGTTAACTATGCTATACTTTGCTATAACTTTGCTATACTTTGCCTTGGGGAGAGGAAGGTAAGAAATAATAATAATAATAATAATAATAATAATAATAATAATAGTAACAGAATTTCATCTTTTAGCTTGGGTTCCATCTGTGAGCAGGGGTGGCTCGTCCATTACGCGAAGTAAGCGGTCGCAGAACACTTTTTTTTTGCCAGGAGCGCAGAGGCCTCTGTAAATGCCCCTCGACCGCCACTTGAGGAGCGCCCCCTCAGCTCACAACAGCCCTAGCAGTCTGGGGGGAGCCTCGGCTTTCTTTCCTCGCTGCCGGGCGATCCTCTTCCCAAAGGGGCTGGGCCCTTGAGCCTCGCCTAGCCCCTCTCGTTCCTGCTCCACCCGGCCACCGGGTGCACGAGCAGAGCCGGCGCTCAATCATTCTCCGCGTTCGATCCCTTCCCCATGACCGGCTCCCTTTCCAATCCCCCGGCGCTCCACCCGCCTCCTCTCCTCTCCCCAATCCGCGGGTGGGCCAAGGGGCGGAGCCGCCGCGCCTGGCCCGCTTCGGGTCCAGAGGCGTGTCTGAAGACCCCAGCGTGGCACACCAAAAGTCGCCTCTTCTCCTGACTTTCTCTTCAACCATTGGGACCAAGAGAGAGAGAGAGAGCCCCTCTGGCTGGAGGTATCTCCTACCTCCGCTCCCTCCTTTGTTTTTGTGCCTACCTTCAGGAAAGGTGGGCATCTCCACCTCTCTCACTCTCTTGGTCCCAATGGCTGAGGAGAAAGTCAGGAGAAGAGGTGACTTTTGGTGCACACGCCTGGGTCTTCAGGCACGCCTCCGGACCCAAAGCGGGCCAGGCAAGGGAACAAGTGCGGCAAGTGTAGTTACTGGGATGTATAGTTCACCTACAATCAAAGAGCATTCTGAACTCCACCAATGATGGAATTGAACCAAATATGGCACACAGAACTCCCACGACAAACAGAAAATATATATCATATAAAATATATAACGCTCGGCAGCCATGATACTAACAGGAGTGGAGCGCAGGGAGCATACAACTCCTCTGCTGCACCAGCTCCACTGGCTGCCGATTTGCTACCGGGCTCAATTCAAAGTGCTGGCGTTGGCCTATAAAGCCCTAAACGGTTCTGGCCCAAGTTACCTATCCGAACGTATCTCTGCCTATCAGCCCGCCAGGACCCTAAGATCTTCTGGGGAGGCCCTGCTCTCTATCCCGCCTGCTTCACAGGTGCGGCTGGCGGGGACGAGAGACAGGGCCTTTTCTGTGGTGGCCCCTCGGCTGTGGAACGCCCTTCCCATGGAGGTAAGATCAGCTCCCTCGCTAATGGTGTTCCGTAGAAGATTAAAAACTTGGATGTTCGAACAGGCCTTTGGTTAATCAGTGCAATGAATGTGACGATCACAGGGACTGAAATATGGACGACGAATTTTGGATCACGACTCTAGTTATGAGACGCATTGGGTTGTTGCTGTTGTGTAATATTGTATACTGTGCTCTTTTGTTTTGAATTGTATATTGTTGACTGATTTTATCCTGTTGTAAACCGCGTTGAGTCGCCGGTTAGGCTGAGAAACGGCGGTATACAAGTAAAGTAAAGTAAATAAATAAGTAAATAAATATCAATGATTGGTTGGAGGGGACGCCAAAATACTGTTTGCTTACCGTTGAAAATTACCTAGGGCCGCCTCTGTCTGTGAGGCAGTACATTATCATTATCATTATTATTATTCCAAAATTATTTTAGGATGCAGAGTATTTTCTATATTATTATTGTTATTATTACTACTACTGCTGATGCTACTTAAAGGTATGGAGTGTAACTAAAGCTCAGCCCCGCTCACAGGCTTATATACTACTGGAGGAGCGTGGGCGGGGCCTCCGTCAAAATGTTTCAATGCTCAATATCTAGAATGTTCTGAATAGCTGCGCATGCGCAGTGGAAACCCATATGTGCACATTTCACAGACTCCACAAAGAAGTACTAGGAGTAAACAAGACATGCACTATCAATATAGGTGAAGGTTAAAGGTTTCTCCTGACATTAAGTCTAGTCGTGTCTGACCCTGGGGGGTGATGTTCATCTCCATTTCTAAGCCAAAGAGCTGCCGTTGTCCTTAGACACCTCCAAGGTCAGCATGATTGCATGGAATGCCGTTACTTTCCTGCTGAAGTGGTACCTATTGCTCTACTCACATTTGCATGTTTTCAAACTGCTAGGTTGGCAGAAGCTGGGCCTAACAGTGGGAGCTCACCCCGCTCCCTGGATTTAAACCGACAATCACGTCATCTATAGTAAATCAGTACTGATATTATTCCAACGTCTTCAACGTCTTTTCAGCTTTCATCATCTTCGTTGTCATTACTCTGAGCCTCAGATACCTGAGTTATTTTTAACATAAATTGAGCACCTATTCTATAATTATCTAAACATTCCTATAACTTGTGGTATTAGCTTCTTATAAAAACTACATTTATCTTATTATTTCTAAATTCTTCCCCCAGCTTATCAAATAAGTTGTGGTTCCATCAAATCTCCTAATTCAACTCTCTCTCATACACACACAAACATATATAGAATCTCTTATTCACCTAACAGTTCTATCCCATGTCGTTTTCTCATTAATGGTCTTCTTTCTGCTATTCCGAATCGATTAGCATAAAAATGTTTAGCGGCCAATTTTCTCAAGCATTCTTTAGACTTTTTACACATTCTGCACATTTTACTCAAACATACAAAGGAAAAAACATGCTTGTAAAATATGACACAAAATGAAATTAGAACTATTGTTTAAAAAGTTTTTCATTACCAACAGAAGTAACTAACACATTTTTCTCTACAGAACGAACTCTACACATAAAAAAAACCCTACAAATCTATATGTCGCCCTGTTGTTGATTTTCTTACTCGCTGGTCCCTTTAAGTATCCCTTTATTTCTACCTTTCCACTTTTAAGACCATTCTTCTACATCTGAAAAACAATGGCTGACAGTTTCCCCCCTCTTTGCTGTAGAACAATAATAAACATGCCCTGTCTTTCTTGAATTTAGTCAAGGATTTCTCATCAATTAATACTGTCAATTTAGTCATCTCAGCTAATTTACGTATTTTCATCATTTCATTCTTGTGGAAGAATATTTGGTTTTTTCCATCTCTGGGCACTGAGGATTTTCACTGCTGTGATTATATAGAGCAGTAATTAATTTTTTGCATTTCTTTTCTAATTGGTCATCTAGCATCTCCAACAAATAGAGTTTTCATTGTCAATTTAACCTTTGCAATATTTCCCAGAATCCTGTGTATCTGAGTCCAATATTTCTGGGCCTTTTGCATTATCGTTTCTCCCGATTGCACTGAAACTCCTTCCACAGCCAATGCTTTAATAGGACTTCCGCCCTGTGTGGGTCCTTTGATGTAAACGCAGATGGTTGCTTGAACTGAAGCATTTCCTGCAGTCTATGCACTTGTAGGGTTTCTCCCCTGTGTGGCTTCTTTGATGTGTAGAGAGATATGAACTCTGCCTGAAGCTTTTCCCACACTCTGGGCACATATAGGGTTTCTTCCCAGTGTGGATTCTTTTGTGTTGTACTAGGCTTTGACTAAGGCTGAAGCTCTTTTTGCATTCTGTACATTTATAAGGTTTTTCTCCTGTGTGGGTTCTCTTGTGAAAATGTAGATTTCCGCTTTGAGAAAAGCTCTTTCCGCACTCCATGCATTTATAGGGTTTCTCCCCGGTGTGGGTTCTCTCATGGACGCGCAGTTGGCCGATCAAAGTGAAGCTCTTTCCACATTCCTTGCACTGGTGTGGCTTTTCTCCCGTGTGGATCTTTTCATGCTTGCGCAGGGATCCGGTGTACCTGAAACACATTCCGCAGGCCGTGCATTTGTACGGCTTCGCTCCCGTGTGGATTCTCTGATGCATGCTGAGTTGGGATCCCCATCTGAAGTTCTTTCCGCATTTTGAGCACTGAAATGGCTTCTCCCCTGTGTGGGTCTTCTGATGGAAATGGAGACTGTTGCTTGAACTGAAGCATCTCCTGCAGTCTATGCACTTGTAGGGTTTCTCCCCTGTGTGGCTTCTTTGATGTGTAGAGAGATTTGACATCTGCCTGAAGCTTTTGCCGCACTCCGGGCACACATAGGGTTTCTCCCCAGTGTGGATTCTTTTGTGTAGTACTAGGTAATGACTAAGGCTGAAGCTCTTATCGCATTCTGTACATTTATAAGGTTTCTCCCCTGTGTGGGTTCTCTTATGTGAACGTAGATTTCCACTCTGAGAAAAGTTCTTTCCACACACCATGCATTTATAGGGCTTCTCCCCAGTGTGGGTTCTCTCATGGAGGCGAAGGTGGTCGATCCGAATGAAGCTCTTTCCGCATTCCTTGCACTGGTGTGGCTTTTCTCCTGTGTGATACTTCTCATGCAGGCGCAGGGATGCACTGTGTCTGAAGCACATCCCGCAGGCTGTGCATTTGTATGGTTTCGCGCCTGTGTGGATTCTCTCATGCCTGAGCAGATGGACTCTCAGCCTGAATTCCTTTCCGCATTCTGAGCACTGATATGGCTTCTCCCCTGTGTGGGTCTTCTGATGTAAGCGGAGATTCAGGCTTTGAGGAAAGCTTTTCCCACACTCCAGGCATTTGTAGGGCTTCTCCCCAGTATGGACCTTCTCATGAGACCGCAGGATCCAGTTGGAAATGAATCTCTTCCCACAGTCTAAGCACGCATAGGGCTTTTCCTTTGTGTGGGTTTTTACATGTGAAGACAGGCATGCTCTCGTGCCAAAGCTCTTCCCACATTCCAGGCATTTATAGGGCTTCTGTGGGTTTGTAAGGCTTCTGTGGGTTTTCTGATGCGTATCCCGATTCCCAGCCTGGGTGAAGCTCTTTCCGCAGTCTCCACATTTGTACGGTCTTTCCCCTGTGTGTGTTCTCTTGTGTATTGTAAGCGTATCATTCCGAACAAAGTGCTTTCCGCACTTCAGGCACGCAAAGGGTTTCTCCCTGTGGGTTTTCTCATGCGTATACAGAGCTGCGCAGGACTTCAAGCACTTTCCACACTCCCTGCATATATATGACTCCTCTTTTGCGTGGCTTCTCCAATGGGAACGCAACTCTTTGCCCTGGGAGAAGCACTTTCCGCATTTCTTGCATTCATAAGGCTTCTCCTCTGTGTGGATCCTCTGATGCGATTCCAGGTTTCCCCTTAAACAGAATCTCCTTCCGCATTCTGTGCACTGGTGTGGCTTTTCACTTGAGGGGGATCTGTTGAGTTCTTCGCTTGTGTGGCACCTGTAGTGTATCGTTAATCGCAAATATCTTTTCCCACAGACAGGACACTTACTTCTCCTTTTGCCTTTGAGAGTCTTCTGGGCAGCCGGAGGGTCCCAGATGTCAGGCTCTTGAGAAGGGAGAGGTTTCTTCTTTCCATTCTTGACTTGGATTCCTCTCTTTTGATTTCCCAAACGCTCTTTCCCTGTTGGATGCTCACTCATTTTTGAAGATTTCAGAGGCTGCTTCCCAGTCGTTCTCACTGCCTTGCCCATTATCTGTTGAGAAAAGAGGGAAATAATAATAAAAATAATATTTCTGACCCACCTCTCCTCACAGCTCAAGGCATATTACACCACTGCTAAAACACATAATCAAAACGCATAATTGTTTAAAAGCAATCCAAAAAATTCACATATTCAAACATATTAAAACAAAGAAAAGAAAAACCCCATTAGGTGTTCTGAAAATAGGATTTGATGATTAAGAAACCAGAGCCTAGACATACAATAGGGTTGTATTTGGATCTCTGTACAATGTATTTTGTTGTGTGGATTTCATGTTGTTGCATTTTGACTGTATTGTTCCCCGCCTCAAGTCTTGGGAGAGGCAGGTAACAATTAATAGAAATGTTGTTGTTGTTGTTGTTATTATTATTATTAAATCTTGAGTCCTTATGGCAGTGGTTCCCAGCCTTTTTTTGACCAGGGACCACTTTGACCAGGAATCACTATCTACCATTAGTACCAAAAGGGTCACAAATCAGGTTTTCGTAAACCTAGAAACAAACAAAGGAGAATTACATTTTCACTCACCATTCACACCACATGTACACGCATTCATCCTCAGGCATTTAAATATTACCATATCATTTTCTCCCTCCTTGGAGAAGTACCTGTTAGGCCAGACCCTGCTTTCCTGCAGCCTGCCAATGCACAGTTCCAAAACTTCCATAACTTCAAAACTTCAAAATTCCTCTTTCCCTAAGCACAATGCCAAGGACCAGATCTCTGTTTTTCATATAGCAGAATCTGACTCCGTGTACAAAATCCAAGACTCCAAGAGCACACTTCTTCCTCTTCCCTTGAGAAAGAAGCCCCAAAGTGACCAGACTGCTCCCTTGCAAAGCTGCCACTCTCCATAGGTATACCATTTCTCTCCTTCCCATGGAGCACTGTCCCAGTTCTTATCAGAGTTTACTTTTTCAGTTCTTATTAGCACACCCAAATATCCTGGGAGTCACTCTGGACCGTGCTCTGACCTACAAGAAGCACTGCCTGAACATCAAGCAAAAAGTGGGCGCTACAAACAATATCATACGAAAGCTGACTGGCACAACCTGGGGATCACAACCAGACACAGTGAAGACATCTGCCCTTGCGCTGTGCTACTCTGCTGCTGAGTATGCATGCCCAGTGTGGAACATATCTCACCACACTAAAACAGTGGATGTGCTCTTAATGAGACATGCCGCATTATCACACGGTGTCTGCGCCCTACACCACTGGAGAAATTACACTGCTTAGCCGGTATTGCACCACCTGACATCCGCCGGGAAGTAGCAGCCAATAGTGAAAGGACCAAGGCAGAGACATCTCAGGCTCATCCCCTGTTTGGGTATCAGCCAGCACGTCAACGACTTAAATCAAGAAATAGTTTTCTAAGATCTACAGAGACACTCGCTGGAACACCTCAGCAAGCGAGAGTCCAAAAGTGGCAGGCTCAAACCCAGAACCTCAATCCATGGCTGATACCAAATGAGAGACTCCCCCCTGGGCACACAGAGGACTGGGCGACTTGGAAAGTGCTGAACAGACTGCGCTCTGGCACCACGAGATGCAGAGCCAACCTTCAGAAATGGGGCCACAAAGTGGAATCCATGACATGCGAGTGTGGAGAAGAGCAAACCACTGACCACCTGCTGCAATGCAACCCTGAGCCCTGCCACATGCACAATGGAGGACCTTCTTGCGGCAACACCAGAGGCACTCCAAGGGGCCAGATACTGGTCAAAGGACATTTAATCAACTACCAAGCTTGCAAACTCTGTGTCTTTTGTATGTTTGTTTGTTCTGTCAAAATGTAATACAACTGTTCGGTTGCCTGACACAATAAATAAAATTCATATCCAAATGTCATTAAATTCACATTTATCAAATCTGAATATTACATTTTTGTGACACTGCATGACACTCTCGGATTGCGGCCCCCTAAGACTCCTGGGTCCCTGTCCTCTGCACTCTTTTCAAGCCAGGTCTCACCCCTCTTCTATCTGTTCATTCCAATTATTGCTGCTTATCTTACATTTTTCCCTGCTGTCATTCATTTTGTTGGGTCCACCTCTCATCATTGGATCTTGTTCCTGTCCTTTAAGGCATTCGCTCTCTCTCCCAATTCAGTGTCATCTGTCAAATCAATAAGCCTTCCTTTTCTTTCCTTTATTTAATTTTTATTTAGACAAATCAATACAATACATATACAAAAGCAAACAAACCAAGCAACAAAGTTAGAAATTCATTTTCTAGAAGAAAAGAGAACATATGATCACTACTACTACTACTACTACTACTACTACTACTACTACATTCTATACATCAGAAAACATTAACTACAGGGAGCCCTCTTAGCCCGGTCATAGCAAATTTCAACATGGAATGCGATGAGAAACAAGCCCTGGAAACAACACCAAAAATGCTCACTAGATGGTTCAGATATGTGGATGACACCTTCAACATTTGTAGCCATGGAGAAGAAGAACTCGACAAGTTCCTGGACCACATCAACAACGTAATAGAAATAATAATGTAATTCTATCTTCTATTATTCCCTAGCTAATCACAATAATAATGTAATTCTATCTTCTGATTCCCTAGTGAGCAAAAGTAATGCAATTTTATTTTCTGTGATGCCCTAGTTAATAAATAATAATATATAATAATACTAATAATAACAATAATAATGTAATCCTATCTTCTCTGTTTCCCTAGTGAGCAAAAGTAATGTAATTCAATTTTCTGTGATGCCCTAGCTAATATATAATAATAATATTATATAATAATAATAATAATAATGTAATTTTATCTTCTATGATTCCCTAGTGAGCAAAAGTAATGTAATTCAATTTTCTATTATTACCTAGCTAATAAATAATAATAATGATGATGTAATTCTATCTTCTGATTCCCTAGTGAGCAAAAGTAATGTAATTCAATTTTATGTGATGCCCTAGCTAATATATAATAATAATATTATATAATAATAATAATGTAATTCTATCTTCTATTATTCCCTAGTAAGCAAAAATAATGTAATTCAATTTTCTATGATGCACTAGCTAATAAATAATAATGATGATGATGTAATTCTATCTTCTATGATTCCCTAACTAATAACAATAACAATAATAATGTGATTCTATCTTCTATGATTCCTTAGTGAGCAAAAGTAATGTAATTCTATTTTCAATGATGCCCTAGCTAATAAATAATATATAATAATAATGTAATTCTATTTTCTATGATTCCCTAGCTAATAACAATAATAATGTAATTGTATCTTCTCTGATTTCCTAGTGAGCAAAAGTAATGTAATTCTATTTTCTATGATGCCCTAGCTAATAAATAATAATATATAATATAATATAATAATATTAATGTAATTCAATCTTCTGTGATTCCCTAGTGAGCAAAAGAAATGTAATTCTATTTTCTATGATGCCCTAGCTAATAAATAATAATATATAATATAATATAATAATATTAATGTAATTCAATCTTCTGTGATTCCCTAGTGAGCAAAAGAAATGTAATTCTATTTTCTATGATGCCCTAGCTAATAAATAATAATATATAATATAATATAATAATATTAATGTAATTCAATCTTCTGTGATTCCCTAGTGAGCAAAAGAAATGTAATTCTATTTTCTATGATGCCCTAGCTAATAAATAATAATATATAATATAATATAATAATATTAATGTAATTCAATCTTCTGTGATTCCCTAGTGAGCAAAAGAAATGTAATTCTATTTTCTATGATGCCCTAGCTAATAAATAATAATATATAATATAATATAATAATATTAATGTAATTCAATCTTCTGTGATTCCCTAGTGAGCAAAAGAAATGTAATTCTATTTTCTATGATGCCCTAGCTAATAAATAATAATATATAATATAATATAATAATATTAATGTAATTCAATCTTCTGTGATTCCCTAGTGAGCAAAAGAAATGTAATTCTATTTTCTATGATGCCCTAGCTAATAAATAATAATATATAATATAATATAATAATATTAATGTAATTCAATCTTCTGTGATTCCCTAGTGAGCAAAAGAAATGTAATTCTATTTTCTATGATGCCCTAGCTAATAAATAATAATATATAATATAATATAATAATATTAATGTAATTCAATCTTCTGTGATTCCCTAGTGAGCAAAAGAAATGTAATTCTATTTTCTATGATGCCCTAGCTAATAAATAATAATATATAATATAATATAATATAATAATATTAATGTAATTCAATCTTCTGTGATTCCCTAGTGAGCAAAAGAAATGTAATTCTATTTTCTATGATGCCCTAGCTAACAAATAATAATATATAATAATATATAATAGTAATAATAATGTAATTCTATCTTCTATTATTCCCTAGCTAATAACAATAATAATGTAATTCTATTTTCTGATTCCCTAATGAGCAAAAGTAATGTAATTCTATTTTCTATGATGCCCTAGTTAATAAATACTATATAATAATAATTATAATAATAATAATGTAATTCTATTTTCTATCATTCCCTAGCTAATAAATAATAATAATAATAATAATGTAATTCTATCTTCTCTGATTTCCTAGTGAGCAAAAGTAATGTAATTCTATTTTCTATGATGCACTAGCTAATAAATAATAATGATGATGATGTAATTCTATTTTCTATGATTCCCTAACTAATAACAATAACAATAATAATGTGATTCTATCTTCTATGATTCCTTAGTGAGCAAAAGTAATGTAATTCTATTTTCAATGATGCCCTAGCTAATAAATAATATATAATAATAATGTAATTCTATTTTCTATGATTCCCTAGCTAATAAATAATAATAATTATAATAATAATAATGTAATTCTATTTTCTATCATTCCCTAGCTAATAAATAATAATAATAATAATAATGTAATTGTATCTTCTCTGATTTCCTAGTGAGCAAAAGTAATGTAATTCTATTTTCTATGATGCCCTAGCTAATAAATAATAATAATATATAATAATATAATAATGAAATTCTATCTTCTATGATTCCCTAACTAATAACAATAACAATGTGATTCTATCTTCTAGGATTCCTTAGTGAGCAAAAGTAATGTAATTCTATTTTCAATGATGCCCTAGCTAATAAATAATATATAATAATAATGTAATTCTATTTTCTATGATTCCCTAGCTAATAACAATAATAATGTAATTGTATCTTCTCTGATTCCCTAGTGAGCAAAAGAAATGTAACTCTATTTTCTATGATGCCCTAGCTAACAAATAATAATATATAATAATATATAATAGTAATAATAATGTAATTCTATCTTCTATTATTCCCTAGCTAATAACAATAATAATGTAATTCTATTTTCTGATTCCCTAATGAGCAAAAGTAATGTAATTCTATTTTCTATGATGCCCTAGTTAATAAATACTATATAATAATAATTATAATAATAATAATGTAATTCTATTTTCTATCATTCCCTAGCTAATAAATAATAATAATAATAATAATGTAATTSTATCTTCTCTGATTTCCTAGTGAGCAAAAGTAATGTAATTCTATTTTCTATGATGCCCTAGCTAATAAATAATAATAATATATAATAATATAATAATAATGWAATTCTATCTTCTATGATTCCCTAACTAATAACAATAACAATGTGATTCTATCTTCTAGGATTCCTTCGTGAGCAAAAGTAATGTAATTCTATTTTCTATGATGTCCTAGCTAATAAATAATATATAATAATATAATAATAATATAATTCTATCTTCTATTATTCCCTAGCTAATAACAATAACAATAATGTAATTCTATCTTCTCTGATTCCCTAGTGAGCAAAAGTAATGTAATTCTATTTTCTATTATGCCCTAGCTAACAAATAATAATATATAATAGTAATAATAATGTAAATCTATCTTCTATTATTCCCTAGCTAATAACAATAATAATGTAATTGTATCTTCTGATTCCCTAATGAGCAAAAGTCATGTAATTCTATTTTCTATGGTGCCCTAGCTAATAAATAATAATAATATAATACTAATATAATAGTGTAATTCTATCTTCTATGATTCCCGAGCTAATAACAATAACAATAATAATGTAATTCTATCTTCTCTGATTCCCTAGTGAGCAAAAGTAATGTAATT